ACTTCCTGGAAAGGAGAATATTTATGTAAGAGGCTCAATTCTGCAAGTGAACCTACTGGTTTTATTATCATTGACTATTATTTCAATAGATTTATACTCTGAAATGCTCAGTAACACAATTTAAGCTTGATGAATGGGAAAGGAATCAAGTGTTAGTAATAATGTTGCAACTTTCATGAAACAAAGGGGGCAATTTGCAGCTTTTCACTTGGCAAACCTGATGAGCCGAATGAGGGCACATCCATCAGGAAGCTCCAAGCAGCAACAACAGAGCTCAAACTGCAACATGATGTGCTCAGTGAAAGGAACTAAAAGGGTCACAAACAACAAATCTGAAATAACAAAAGCACAAAGTGGAAGCGAGCCAGCACAAAGAAACGTACGAGTTCTCTCCACAGTTTCAAAGCATGCGCTCTGAGAATTTCAGGAGCTGACAAAACAAGTGCTTCATCATTTCAGAGAAGCGGAACGAAAACACCAGCAGACAGAGAGGCGGAGAGATGATACGCTCTTCCACGTTGCTCCTGATTAATGGTGGAACACGGTGGTTTCCTTCTCAAAACACGCTTGACATGCAAGGATCAGAGAAACCAAATAACTTCGACTGGACAGCTCAGCTGTACAACACAACATACACCAAATACTATATTACTATACTATAGCCACATAAATACACAGAATGGCAGGTTCCTTTATTACTATGAGCAAGGACACTGCAGTTCATTTCTGTACTATAAAGTGAAGTAGCACCTTAATAGAAGCAACTTCATGATTTTAAACGCAGCTTCAGAATTACCCCACACTACTAAATCATGTTAGCTCAGGTATGTTCAAAAGGTAAGGAAACAGCACAATGTTTAGTGTACATAGAGGATCTTTGCCTTTTAGTGACTACTGTCAATAGAGATACAGATTTTAAGTGAAAGCAATTCCATTCCTTGCTTGACTTCCTTTCTATAGACCTTTGTAGACTGATCATAAAGCAGCCTTAAGGTGCGTCCACACAGATAGTGACTGCTGGTGATGTCCCAACAACAAGAGACCACCCAAAGCAAAGCAAGTACTGGCAGGTCAAGAGTTAATATTGTCTCAACTCAAAAAAAGTCAAAAAATTAAAGCAACTACCAATGAAAGTGAAGAATGCTGTTGATTGACATATAGTACAAAGGAGTAGTAATTACACTAGTAGATTGTCTACTAGCAACCAACCATTAGTGACAAAATAATGCACAGTGAGCGAATCTCTTCCTGTATTTATATAGGATTTGCAGGTGGCTGCTCCTTCCCAAACCTGGGTCTGCTGGAGGTCTCTTCCTGTTAAAAGAGAGTTCTTCCTCACCACTTTTTTCCAAGTCCTTGATCAGAGGGGACTTGGCGAAATGCCGGGCTTCTCTTTCTCTGTTTGTTGAGTTTATCTTACAATGTAAAGCACTTTGAGCAAACTGTTATTGTGAATTGGTGTTAAATAAACTCAAAGTTAATTAAATACTGATTGTAATTAGGGCCAGGCAATGACAAGGCTACTGTCCTTATTAGCCTATTCTTATCATTTATGTTTTTAACCAACATCCTTCTTGGATTTGACCGCTATTTTTATTTTCCTCACATTTATTTAGGGTTACAGTTTGCTCTTGAGAGAAATCTGTTGCTCTAGACCTGTCCGTGCTTGCGGATGGCTTTAAGGTATCAACACTACCTCTTTCACATCAATGTGTAATCTCCTGAGGAGTAAACACTGGGCAAACAAACCAATATTTTAATAACTACCTTGATTCAGGTAAATGAAGACTGACAGCCCTGAATTTGATCTTGATAACTCTAGTTGAGGTTACATTCTTTCTAACTTCACACCTTCAACGTCACGTGTATTAAACCCCAGCAGAAAGTAGTCCTTACTAGGATGAAGTCTTTTTGGAAAGATGGTGTCCTGAACTGATTTTCAGCAGTGTTTTCTTGGCACAATACCCTGTAAGGTTAACTAAAAGGGAAAAATAAATATATTTTAATTAGAACTGAAGTCTGAATGCACTCATGTTGTTATTTAACTGCTGGGCAGGGTGGAAGGCATACAAGCCATGCCTTTAGACTGAAATTAGTGCCTAAGCAGTTTGAGGTTTTACCTTTCCTCAGCGCTTTCACAGCAAGTTGGCACGAAAGTCCAGAAATCCAGCCTCTCTGTTTTTGTAAGGAAGTATATATATATTATATATACAAAGGAGACTATGCATAAAGAAGGGAGACTTGTAAATTAGCCTGAAAAATGGATAGATACCATCACTTTATGCAAACTTATTCATGTTCACTTTCAGGATCACCCTATGTGATGTTTTTGGCTCTTTCCTGTCATCACCCAGAAGCAAAATTTTACTGACAAGATTTAACACATTTTCACAGCCAGCTGTGAGTAAACAGGCATGAAGGTGGGGAGGCATTTTGTGACCATTTGTTTGCTGCCCAGTTAAATATGGGCTGTATATTATTCTTATCTCCAGATGGAGATTTATAATTGTAACGTGTACTTACGAAAACTGTCCTACCTCTGACTTATTTTTGAGCGCTCAGATTCCTAACATTTCAGATCATATATGGCTGACAGGTCGCAGAAAAGAGCTTTAGCTGGATTTTAAAATAAATAAGTCATAAAAATGTAGCCAGTGGTCTCGCAGGCCTGACTGAGTGCCGATAGTTATCATGCTTGACCCTGTCGCGGTCACTCCCTTGTTTTTCATCTCAGGCTTTTTAGCAAATTGCTTCCTGCCAAAGCCTTGACATTTTTAGCTGAAATGTTTAGAAAAGGAAATGCTGCTGTGATTTTTGGAGATGGAAAGTTGCAGGTTTGTATATATAGACACTGGCAGTTTGCTAGGCTTCTCCAACAAATTTGACCTCTGGCTTCCTGAAATTCAAGCGTTATCATGTACTGTGTACTTCCATTCATCACACTTTAAAAATTGCACGATCTGCAGGGAAAACAAAGGAGAAAAAGACGTAATTTCTTCAGGTTTCAGCGACACATTTCTTCTCGATAAGGCCCTTTCAAATTACTCTGGATCAAAGTACATATTATGAGGGAAGTCAGAAGCTCATCGCTAACCAACACCAATGCTTTACCAACATTAAAGTGAGAGATCTGGATCCACAGCAGAATTTCATGTTATTCTTTTTCCCTTTAGTAACATTGTGTTTTTTCCCCCGAAGCTCCAGCTCTCCACCAGGTTTCATGAAATTTAGGTTTACAGTAACCTTGCTGAAACCCTACCATCACCCCAGTTACCTACCTAGCTGTCAGTTAGACAGCTACCTGTAGATGCTAAAGATTGATTAATTTAATGATTGCTAACAGGCGCACACAGCAGAATAAATGGAAAGCTGGACAGAGGGACTGGTGTCACTCACAGGTTTGTAAAGTGTCATTTTGAAGCTTCAAGATTAGCAACTTGGATGTGTCGAATGAAGGGTGGATCTGACTTTGAAACCACATGCTCATGAGCATATTCAGGAAAATCTTCTTATAGAATAACCAGAATTTATAAAACTTAACGGCCTGTTTAATATGACCTGAAAGTATTGCCTGACACCATGAAACAACAAAGAAAGGTCTGCTTCCCATAGACTTTGATATAACTGCAAGTCATTTTTAACCACAATACTCCCTACTGGCTATTAAACAGGATGCATTAAGCATTAAGACTCTTCTGTAATGCTTCACTTTTCAGACCCACACACTCCCACTCTATTCTCATCTACCATTATTAACCCAAGGTTAAGAGAGAATCACACAAAAGGTTTTTAACCTCCCCCTACAAGAGGCTCAGATCCTAACTGGACATATTTGTAGTAAATTGCTTCTTTAAGCCCACTAAAAAAGTCTAAGTCATTCATGAAGAGGTTTGAGTGCATGACAATTCATTGTCAGAATTAGAATCAGCTCTGAAATTGCCACATATTCCCATATACACCCGTTTCCCCAACTTCATATTAATCAAAAAACTGATAAAGGTCACACATTCTTTCAAACAGCAGTAAGACTATTCCATAGAGGTCACTGGCTACATTATCTATCTATGATGGTGGATGTGTTATATTTTAAAGGTTGTTTAGAGCTGTGGAATTAAACCTGAACCCTTGCACCTGCTCTCTCACTAGCTTTGGTGAACTAAAACTTTAAACCATCCTAAGAAACTGGCACTCTCATTTGTAAAGGTTATAATATTGAAATGCAGTCACCAGTGAGACAGGAATCACACGCAGGTCTTATAATTTCAGCCATTTTGTTTAATAACGTTCCACTGGAGACCTCCCTCACATGGTTCACCAAACCCACCGCCTCTTATTCAGCGTGGCCCGCCTGCCCTGCGCCCCTGGCATTTCCTGTGTGTAAAACAGAGTGGGCAACGCTGGCAACTAGCACCCATTTCCAATAATGGATACCAGATGAAGGGTGTGTGTTTAGGTATGTGCTGTATGTGTGCAAATCCTGCCCTAAACCCTAAATGAATGCTGTACCTTTCTAATTATCCAGCACGAACTCCAGCTTCTCTTTGTTTTCCCTCCCATTTTCTTGCTCTTTGCTTTCTTTCTTTCTTTTGCTCTTTGCTTTCGCACAACATGATTAATCGAGCTCCAGCTCCACCAAGAGGTCTTTTATTTTTAGAACACGGGGACGATCTCCAAGACGCAAGAGCTCATCCAACATAAACAGATTCTGGTACAAAGAGTACTTGTTTAGACATTCTTAAGATTCTTCTGCAGAACATAAACTCCCCCCAAACCCCACCTATCTCAACATCTGCATGTATATGTGCACATACGCACATCTTAAAGAGTAGATGGCTCCAAATAAACAGAACATTCAGCCCTTCTCATGTTCCTTCATGTGGAAAGCAATATTCACTTGATGCATGAAGGTATTACTAAATATAACATTCAAATATCAGCAAACGTGACATTGCCTTCCTTTATGGGTTTTTTTATGTGTGCAAATTGTTTAGGACTCTTACCTTGACTTCACATTTCTTGTGGCATGCGATTCGGCACACTGGAAAAAGAGAAAAGGAGAGAAAAACCAATTAACTCCACAGATCATAAAAAGCTTTTGAACATTATGGAGAAATTCAGACTTCGTGTTGCATTATGAGTGATGACGCTGAGCAGCTGTCAAGAAGACATGAAAAAGCAAGAGGTATATTCAAATTCCACAATGTTTGTACTGTGGTCAAAGTCAAACAGCATCTGCTGTTAGCAGGCTGATACTGCCACAGCAGCTCACACTCCCAGCAAAGGCTTAGAATTCACTGCTGTGAAGGATAACACACAGTGAGAGATCTCATCTCTGTGTCATCGGTTAAATGAACTTTTTAAAGTGTAATCATCACCGGTGCGATGATCTTTTTACTGAAGCATCTCAAAATCTACAGATGCACATCAAAACAAAGTCAGCCGGACATAATAAAGAAACCACTGTGAGAGTTTGGACTGCAGTACTCATCGTCTCCCAGACTAAACAGCTTTCAGTGCAATGAATGAGTCAGGATGTTTCAGCCGTCTGTGCATTTGTGCGACAGGCCACCCTCCAGTTATCGATTCCTACACTGACCACACGACTGTCACATGAAGTTAAAAGATCTGATTTATCTCGAGGTCTGCAGCTGGAAAATATTAGGTTACTCATTAGTCCCAAACAACAAATGATCAGTCTTGATGCATGCTCAATTATCCAGGAAAGGAAATCCCAAAAAGTTGATTCTGTTCATCTGGACGCAGCGTTTCCAGTGGGAGAGACGTTTCGTCACTCATCCAATGACTTCTTCAGTCCCAGCTTCAGTGGTGCTGGTTTCAGTCATTGTGCAAATGTACTGTTTATAAGGTTGGGGAAACCTGCAGTCAGCTGAACTGAAGAAGTCACCTGGATGAGTGACGAAACGTTTCTCCCACTGAAAACGCTACGTCCAGATTAACAGAATCAGCTTTTTGGAGTAATTAATCAATTTTCCTGAATTTCTTGCTCCAGAATATTAATCTTAGGCACCGTTTTAAAGATCAGGGACAGATTTTCTTCCTGTTTTTGGAAACTTTCCACTTCTTGAACATTTTAATTCTCTCACCTTTTTTGCTACAATAAAAATCCACGTCTGTCTGCTTCATTCCAACCAGCACCCCAATTTTTCTTGGGTTATTCCTGGATTTTAAGACCACCTTCTAGAGTTAAGCCTTGCTCTTTCTCCTAGGAACCTTCTGGGATTTTTTTAAAGCCTCTCAAACTTTATTCAGAATACTGAATGAAACAGCCGTTATCTTTTGTGTCACACAAGAGCGTCGAAATCAGTCATATTTGTTATTTTTAGCAAGATGTCATCTTTTCTAAACATTTTCTAAAACATGACTGATTGCATGAGATGTATTCAGGTGATATCAGTAAATTGCAGCTATGAAAAAAAGAACCTCAGTTGCACTCTCTTCAAATAGCCACTGCACCAGTACAGTATATGGTTAAAGCAGATCTCGAAAATTTCATCAAAGATTAAAGAAGTTGTTTAACTATAGAATTTCTGCACAGTTTTCACAGCTCCCCTTCTGTCCTCAAGGCCTCTCTGTGGACTCCCACTGGGCCACCAATAAGGGTCAACAAGAGAGAGCACCTGGACCAGCGGCTCATAAATTCTCAGCTTCCCTCGAAGGACAGAAAACCAAAACACGGCTCAGCGTGCCGAGGTGTAGGCTTTCCAAATAAAGGAGAAGGCTGTATGCTTTTACTGGAACGCTCTACGCCTTATGTAATGAGTTTTTCTTCCTGTCTCGAGCCACATTCTTCAAAGCAGTTGTAATATCTGTTGTGAATAGTTGTCAAGTCATTGATATGAAACTGGGAGGTGGCCAGTCCTGACATTGTGTGAGAGTCAGATTGTGTGTTTTGTATTATGTTATGGTGGCAGTGCAGTGTTTTCCTGAACCCTATACTTCCTCTACTCTTGCTTCCTAAACACTATGTTCTCTCTGATGTATACAGATTAATCATACAGGATATCCCTGAAACACTCCTTTAGTTCTAAAACCACGTGGAGTTTTCTTTGCGTGACCCTCCTCCTTATAAGCTTCACTCTATGAATGTCAAGTCAATGTTCCACTGGGGCCAGCAGTTTAGTACATACAGACAACACAGAAAGACTTGATAAAATGCTAATTCTCCCAGGCTTGTGTGAAAGACATATCTTGACATTTCTTGGCCAAGTTCAACTAGTGAATGGTTTTGCACTTGCACAGGCTTAAACAAATCTGCAACATAAAAGGTAAAAAGACCAGAGGTGGAAGGTGAGACTGAGGGAAGAACCTGTTGGATGAACCCAGAAAAACCTCTAAAAGGAGGCAGCTAGTATTCACAGCCTTGCCTTATTGGTTATTACCCAGAGCTCATGACCACAGGTGAGGGTTGGAACATAATCTGGTAGCTGGAAAAGCTTTGCCTTTTGACTTATCCCACTTTTCACCATGACAGTCTGCTACAACGCCTTCATTCCTGAAGATGCTGCACCAACCCACTGGCCCAGCTCCTTTCCATCATCGTGAATAAAATCCCAAGATACTTGAACTCAGGGGCAGCTTCTCCCCCAACATATTGGGAGAAAACTACTGTTTTCAAGCAGATAAGCTTGTGGAAACTATGAATTTAAGGAGATAAACAAGACTTTGTTGGTGCAGTGGCGCCTATTGTGTACTATTCTTCACAGCTGACTTACTCTGGTTGCCAGAAAAGCGCAGACTGAGCATTTTTCTTTTAAACAAACACACTTAGTTTAGTTAGAAGTCATCTTTTAATTTCAATATAAAAATCTATTTCAAACGTGCATGAACAATATCTAATGTCGGTTCTAAAGCAGGTTACGCTAAAACAATGACATACTGCTAAATTTGCAGCAGGTATCTTTAATGTTGGATAAAAAAGCAGGGGTGTGAACTCTTTTCCGCCAAGATAAGTTTGAGAACCAGTGCATTTAAGAAGGTTAATGCACACGTCTCTTTTTAAGAGTTAATTTGACTGAAACTTATTTGGTTATGAAATGGTTTTGATCAAACTGTCACACAATGTTTATTTTTAAAGACTGTTATTAGCAGATGCTGTTTTCTTGTTTAAATATCAAGTTTCCGATGTGTAAATTACACGTAAATACATGCAAATGATCTTCTATCTCATCCTGTGACACATGGTGCTCTTATTGGGACTGCTGTGGCCTCTCTGATGTCAGCAGTCATGGTGTGGTTGAGTGTGTGTTGGTCATTTAGCTCAGTAGGAAAACATCTGGTCTCCAGAGTGCGATCTCATGAGTCTGAGTCTCCCTCATGGTGAATTACATTTTGATGTTTTATACACCCAAAAATGACATTTGTTTTTTGTTCGTTTCATTTTGTTCTCAAAAATGATCAATGAAAAAGAATGAGAAGTTCAAGAAGGATACTGAGGAACATCATCATGGCCGCCCGCACAGCTTTTCAGTAAATGTTCTGTCAGTGATTATTCGACATTGTTTTCAAGAATCTTATTTTTAAGACATGATGTGACACTACAGTTAAACATCAGACACTGACAGTAAAGCCAATAGTTATTTGCTGAGAGGCTCAAGTCATCAAGACCAAGAACACCTGATGTTTTACCTTTAGTCTTAAATGCTTTAAAAGATGACAGCTGCCTTTGGTGCAGGCTTCTTCAGTTCTAAAACCTGATGGAGAGTCACAGTTTAGTGGAGGTGTCACCCTGGATGTGGTCCTGAAAGATGATGAACCACCCTGTAATTATGTGAGTCATTAAAGGCCACACATCCAGGGGACAAACTCCCAAACACAATTCAATTTATATAGTGCCAAATCACGACAAGAGGTGCCTCAAGGTGCTTTACATTGTAAGGTAAAGACCCTACAATAATAGAGAGAAAACGGAGAAAACCCCAAAAATCATATACAAGCACTTGGGTGACAGTGAGAAGACAAAACTCCCTTTTAACAGGAAGAAACCTCTGGCAAAACGAGGCTCAGGGAGGGGCGGCCATCTACTGCGACTGGTTGTTGTGGTCGTGGCAGACCAAAGTGACTGAACAACTCTCAGGACCACCTAAAAACAGGCCAAAACCTGAGACTCTCCATCAGTTTTGGAACTGAAGAATCCTCGTGGATGAGAGCTGAAATGTCTTCATGAATCAAAAAGAAGTCCTATTGCCTTTAGCAATGAAAAATGGCCTGGATGCGGAGAAGCTACGCAAAACTCTTTACTTTTACTTTGATGCACTTTGAAGTCCTTAATTTTGCTCAAGGTCAGAGGTCATGTTCTCTGAGCAGCAACTGTAAGGATTAAGGTACAACCTACAAGGCTTTTCAGGAGACTTTAGTTTTTCTTTCACATCTAACCCTATATTCTTTGGAATGAGAGAAAAGTTAGGGGTTTAGGAGTGGGTACTTATCAGTTTTAAAATCTATCTAGGGTTAAATTAACATACGAGAACTTTATTAACATTATTTACGTCAGGTGCACAACACAGTTCAATGTGAGCTGCAAGATGATAAATGTAAGATAAAATATGTGTTCACTAGTATTTCAGTGTGCAACAAGAGTATGTCTACAAACTGAAACCTGAGAAAGTGAGAAGCTTCCTTTTTAGATCCAAAAAGTGTACTTACATCATGCAGAGGCATTTAGTTTCTATTTAAGCGCTCGCTGGACTATATTTGCACACGTGGGGGGCTTTTTTGACTTCTTAATTAGAGGCCTTCAAATCTGGGAGGCACCATGAAATCCTACCGGGATGCACAGCGCATCCCAGAAAGTTCCCAGAGTGAAACTAGAAGGGTTTGTTTCTACAGCATGACTCACATAATCTGTCAGGGAGATCGACTCCAGACAAAAATAATGAAACACGTTCATTTAGATGACTGTCGATTCCCGCAAAGACTGTTTTCTTAACTCACGTGGGAGCTTGTAAACCTTCTGCTTGGCTTTTGTCAGGTTTACTTTCATGATCAAAATTGCTATGAATCATTATTTTCTTATAATTT